TCCAACAAGAACAGCTTCGCGAATTGACGCCACGTTTTCACTAAGCAGCGGTATGTAACTAATCGCTGAGAATACTTGTAATGGAATTACATTAATAAACTATTGGCAATTTCGTAATTTATGGCCTCAATTGCACAGATGAAATATTGAAAAAAACTTTAACGTTAAGCCCCCAATTATTAGCCAAAGATATGCCAATTTTTACCAAATCAACCAAGCCGACTATGAAAGAAACCAACTGGAAGGTAAAAATTTTTATATTTCTACAAATATTGAAATATAACAGAGATAAAAATATACAAGAAATAATAATTTAAACTGATCATGCAGAGTTTAACACTTTGGCTAGTTTCGACCACTTGTCCCATGTTTGAATGGATTGAGTTTCCCCCGTCCAACAATTTGTTAATTCTAGACAATTAGTTGGGTTCAATTCAGAGGACTATTTTGCTGTTCAGTGTTCTCACTGCATAATGACTGCTCGGGCTTAACCAGACTAGGGGGAGAAGGACTGTTGAGGACAGATTGAGCAGTATTGAGATAGTCAAGACTCTGGGAAGAAGTGAGAAAAACTTGGATGTTCTCAAGGGGGTTGACAGTAGGGTGATTCACTTCCATGTGCCTCATCAAGTGGTCCTTGCGATAATAACCCTGCAGACAAACGCCACATCGGAATGGTTTGAAACCCACATGCTTGAGAGCATGACGTTGGAGATTAGAACGTTGAGTGAAGGTGCGACTGCAGACATGGCAGCGATAACTTCCATGGACTTGCATGGTGTGCTCTTCCAATTGTTGAAGAGAATGAAACTCTACCTCGTTGCACTGGTTACAGGGGAAATTCCTACGACCTCCAGTGAATCTACGCTTTGCTGGCGACTTCATTTTGCCAGGCGAATCGAGATTGCCATGTTGGGTGTTCAGCATGCTTGGGAAATCCATTTTGAGAGGTGTGATTGGAGAAGATTCATTTGAATGTACTGAGCCTGAGCAGGAGAGATCCAGTACTCCTGAATCCATACTTGTATAGTCTGGGGAGGGCTGGACAGCTGGGAGGATTCGAACGGGAGTAAAGGACTTGCGTTTGGATGTTGTAGTTGGAGGTGTATTGATTTTAACTGTGACAGGAGGGTCCGAATCAACGGTGATTTTCAACTCTCCGTGGATTGCAATCTTCGCAGTTTTGTTTGGCACATGATCTAGAATTGTTTTTCGTAGGAGAGATTCAAGTTCTTTGCTCTCCGGCAGAGAGAGCGATTTTGTTTCCTGTGGTTGCATCATTTGATGCTGAAATTGTTGCATTAATTGTAAGAACATTTGTGCCATTGTGCCTGTGGATAGTGCATCTTGTTCCGGCATTGATGGCGACTGTCGCATTGTAGGTGAGTCCGATGGAGACGGTGATTCGCTACCTCGTATGGACATATCTTGCGGTTCATTGACATTCATAATAATATCTGCAAGAGCAATCAATAGTTGTAACACTTTTTGTTATTCAATATCAGTCGGATTATAGGAGGGCAAAAATAAGGACTCACAAGTAGAGTCCGACCTCGATGTTTGACTTGAGAGGAAATGTATTGCTTTTTTATATGATTGCCTTAAAGCGCTTTTCCCACTTAGTTCCAATCAGATATATAGCTAAATAAGGCAGGGTAATTGCATTGGCTCTGTATGCTTAAGTTGCGACACAGACGCACACTACTGGGAAAGAATAGCCAATGGGTGCGTAGGAAATATGCTTCAAAGTGATTGGTCCATGTCAGAGATGTGAGAGTCCGACCAAATTCTGTGACGCATATGTGCTGGTTAAAAATTAATTATTTCATTATATCCTCGTAGATTTTTTCTTAAATAATCTTATTAAAGCATTTACTAAAGGATTTGTAAAAATAGTGGACGTTGCGCATTGTTCATTTAGACAAAGTGAATTTTGCGACATTGAAATGAAATCAAAGGTGTGACTATAGCTACCATAATCGAGGTGCCCACCTGATTTTAACAGGCTAAAGTTAACTCGGACTGAGACTTCGAATTTTGGACGACACAGGGTGCGCGACAGACTTACCCCCATGTGGTGCACTCGAGGCAATGTATACTCAAAAAGCAAAAAATTCTATAAACCAGCAGTTGACTTTTGACTTCAAATTACCATGACCCACTGTAAGTCATATTTCACCACTTTCACAGTACTCAACTTACATTTTCTCTGCCTTTGTGTCTGTTTGTCTCTTTTACATCTGTGAAATACTCTCCGACCCTCCCCTCCCCCACTTTGATGTTTTTCCCCGGCTTCACAGAGGGGAAGGTGCATCAAAGTGAAAAAAAGTTGAGAGGGGGGGGGGAATAGAAGATTGTTTCAAAGATGCAAAAGAGACAGACACAAAGGTAGGAAAAAGGTGAGGTGAGTACTGTAGAAGTAGTCGAATATGACATAGAGTGGGGAGATGGTAGTTTGACGTGAAAGTCAACTGCCGGTTAATAGACTTTTTGCCGTATGAGTATACGTTGCCCAGGGTGCACCACATGGAGGTAAGTCTATTACGCACCCCATGATAACTATCATAAAACCTGCCATTTGATAAAAATAAATCTTTGGACGATATGACTTTTTCCTGACCAGCGTCAAAATGTTAGAAGTATATACACCAATTGGTAAGAATAAAAGCTTATTTTACCATGGATTGCTAAAATTATTTATTTATTTCAAATGGCAGGCGTTTTGATGATTATCATTACCCCTTTAGTTGACTTCAGGCTTCACACAAGGGAAGAACATCAAAGTGAGAAAAAGTCGAAATGGGGATAGAAGAATGAATTACACATGTAAAAGTGACAGACAGACACAAAGGCAGAGAAAAGGTGAGGTGAGTACTGTGATAGTGGTCGAATATGGCATACAGTAGTCAGAAATCAACTGCCGATTTAGAGACTTTTTTGCCTTATAGGTATATGTTGCCCTTGCTACAATTATAAGTGCTAGTGAAAATGGCTAGATGTTTTACTCAAAAGTTGCATTAGTAGATCTTCCTCCCCTTGGCTATTCGATTGTATTAAGTTGGCAACTAAGTCTTTGCCGATTTCAAATAAGAAGGCAAATTCGGAATTTTTGTTTAAAAATATAACTTTATTCAATTAGATATTGGCCGTTCTTCTCGATGACCTTTTTACATCGTTCTGGCAGAGTAAAATTCCCCGTTCGTAAAATGTCTGGTCTTTGCTATTAAAAAACTGAATTGGGTGTGATCCGACATCATCCGCGTTGTTACAAATTTTACCATTTAAAGAGTTTTGCATGGAACGAAACAAATGGTAATCCGAAGGCGCAAGGTCAGGGCTATATGGTGGGTGTGACAAAACATCCCAACCCAGTTCCAATAATTTTTGCCGAGTAACCAAAGATGTGTGGGGCCTTGCGTTATCATGATGGAAAACAACACCCTTCCCCCGATTTGATAATGCCGGCCGCTTATCTTCAATTGCATCCTTCAGTTTTTCGAGTTCTTCAACATACACATTTGAATTTATCGTTTGGTTCTGTGGCATGAGTTCAAAATACGAAATTCCTTTGTGATCCCACCAGACTGACAGCATAATCTTTTTTTGGTGAATCTCTGCTTTTCATACTGTTTGGGCTGGTTGATTTTGCTTCACCCATGATCTCTTGCGAGTAACGACATTCTTATAAACTATCCACTTTTCGTCGCCAGTAACTGTTTAGGTTCTTCAGAAATGGATCATTCTCATTGCGTTTCAGTAGCGGCGAATCACAGATGCTAATCCGTCGCGTCAAATGAATTTCCTTTAACTGGTGAGGGATCCATAAATCAAGTTTCCTGACATAACCAAGGGTTTCTATTTTTTTTCAATGCATGTACGCGACACATTGAGCTTCTCTGCAATATCTCGTGTTGTGCTGTGACGATTTGAATCGATAATGGCCTTGATATGGGTTTCATCCACTTCGACTGGGCGGCCAGATCGTTGTGAATTTTTGAGTGAAAAATCACCGGAACGAAATCTTTCAAACCAATTTCGACACTGCCTTTCTTCCTTACGGCTTCATCTCCATATACGGGACATAACTTCTTTTGTGCTTGCGATGCGTTCTTGCCTTTTCGGAAGTAATACAATAAAATGTGTCGGAAGTGCACGTCCTGTTCTTTCATTTTTAAATTGGGATAAAACAAAACTAAAGAACTAAACAAAAAATTTTTTTGCTAATTAACCTAGAAGCCCATACAGCAAGAATAAAATAAAGGTTAGATGCTCTGGCCACGTTAACAAAACAAAAGAAAGTATAGAGTGAATCCGTCAACAAAAACGGCAATGACTTAGTTGCCAACCCAATATATACGGGTGGGCAATTTCGATCAATTCTCCTTATTAAACGCAGGATAAACTTAGGGCAAATTTTAAGCATACCTAAAGAAGTGTAGTAAAAGTAATAACCTAGTTATTCCAGTAAAAGCAATTAATTTAGAAAATTAAGCAGTCAATTCTCTATTGTGTGATTTAAAATTACTTTTAGGAGAAAAGAAATGTAATTGTTGCTGAAAATTTCTGAGAAAATATTATTGTTAATTTTTCGCACACAAAATTCGTATTTTTGTCTTTAGGTTGCATTAGTATAAACATTCCATGCAAATATAATGCTTCTGTGGATATAATGTGCTAAAGGGCACCGGATGGTCGTCTTGTCAAACACTTCAGCCCACAAAACTCTGTTCAAGCGTGCATTAAATGCGTTAGAACTCACAATTCTTCTTCCATTAGTGAGTAAGCACCTCAGTTGCTGAGGCAAAAGGCGCACATATGAGCACACGTCACACACACACACACACACGGGCCGAGGGAGGCTGTTGCCCTCTCCCTCCAACTTCTGCTGCCTAGTACCTACAGAGGAGATTCAATGCGCATTTAGGGTAGTTGCTATGACTGAGCAAAGAGGGTAGGGGTGAGGCGGGAGGGAGGTGGGGGCTAGGGCTTTCAGCTATGCTCACTTTAGGCCAGCAACTTGTAGCGTCAGTAGGTGGGTGGGGCTATAATGAGCATGAGCCATGGAGGTGGGAGGGTGAGAGGAGGGCATGGCCTTGTGTGTCGTCTTTCCTGTTTAGACAGGAGCGAGGCCAGGGAATCTCACGTACAAACGTGCTCTTCGCACTCGCTTGGTAAGTTTCTGCTACACGGATGCGTATGTAGTCTCTTAAAGCCTCAACAACTGTGCCCAAGGTATCATAGTAATCAGTTCTTTTATTTAGCATTACTAACAGCCACTGACGTGTATACGCATACCCATTCACAAGTAATATAATCATTACACCATATGCAGAAAAAATGGAAAAATATAAATATAAAATAACCTTCTGATGTAAAGGAAGATACAGAGGACAGTCGATTTTAAATCACATTTCTGTTAATTATCCGCTTTGAAAAATAGTGAATCATAAGTACAGTCATTGTTCTGGAGGACAAAAATGTTTATTCAAAGCTGCAGAAAATCTTGGTAGAGGGTGGATAAACGAAAGTGATATTTATTGACAATTCGAGTATAAACAACAATTTTACACCCCCACCCCCCTCCCCAACCCCTAGAATGTACAATGACAGACATTAGCAGTATTGAGGGTAATTAGAGTTTCTAAAAATGGGGTACATTGGCATATTCTGCGACAAAGCTCTGATGTGTACAATGCGATATAAAGTGAAACGTGGAATAAACCTGTCGTGAAAACCCATATCAAAGTGGACTCGAAATGCCTTTCAACTAGTTATTGAAGTACCCTTTCGAAATGTGACCAACGAGAAATTGTGTAGACTTCAATCTGCTGGTGTCCCCAAGCAGAGTCAGATAGAAAGAAGGTGGGGAGAAGAGTAGATGGAATGGAATGGAGTTCTGAATTATGCACACTCGAATACAAATTTGGTTTGTTTAGTTTAACTGTGAAGAGTTCACATGGAAGAAGTTGAGTGAGAGGGAGAGAGTCGAGCCTAATTTCTAAGCGTCTATTCGCTGCCCAGAGAACACTTGGCACGAGGCCTGGGCACAAATAAATACAGGTATTTTTTGGCATCCATTTTTGAAAGACCCCTGTAAAGTATGATAATTAATGGCAATGGAGCCATTTCCACAAGGGACTTCTCTATCGGTTGAGTGGAACGGCGAATATTAGGATTCAGGTCACTCAAAAATAGTACAATTTGCATTGCCATATCCGCGAGGTAATGAGGCAACAATGAGAGTGTAGATTATTGGCGTCAATTTCTTACAACTGCTCCAAAATATCAAAACCTCTCCCAACTTCACTGACGTTTCGATGCTTCTACTTTCAACGCGTTTTCCAACTTTCCAATCCTTGTTTTCCATGCCTGAGAGTAGATGGGGTTTTCCATTTTCCCTTGACTAAACTCTCCGAACCTCGAAACACATCTGCATCTTAAGACAACTTAGGCAGCTTGAAGGTAGGAACTAATGGAGGTGGAGTTCTTCGAATTGAGTGGTTGGTGTAGAGAGTACAAATTCATTGACAAGATATTTCTCTTTCATCTTCAGTTGCTGTGCCCGTGGATATTCAAGTATATAGATACGAATAACAGTACTAGTTAAGAAGTAAATTAGTAAAGCATGAATTTAGCTTTGGTCTGATATGGTGTGGCACGACATTGTCCACAGTATTTCAACTGGATTGATGATTTCTCTGGTCGATTGACTCATGCTGCAATAGGAACTCACACAGGTGTGGTATCAGTGACTCAAACAAAGAAATGCACTTAAAATGAGAAATGAGCACAATTAGTAATGCGAAAAGACGGTTTCAATTGGCTTTTGTTTCGACTCAAAACAATGTAAAAGTGCACACAGCTGGGTCAATGTGGTAGGCACTCCCCAAACCGCAATCGAAGGTGGCCTTCACTTCCCTCAAATAGTTATTGGTTCTATCTTCATTCACTTCATTTTGACAATTACAGTTAATCCATACAACACATTTTAAAGAAGCTACTGTCTAAGAAATTTTGGTGACAATTCACTGATCCATGCGTCTAACTAGACATGAAGGCACTACGAGGAACGTGTTCGCACATCTACTATGTCCGGCACCTGCTCAAACAGACAAAAGAGCACAAATTCAAGGACCTCTTCTTCAATAGGTCATAGTCATTATCCCACCCACCTTCTGTTGCTACAGTTACTGGCCAAAAGTGAGTACAGTTAGGTGTTCTAACTAAATACTCAAGGAGTAGTCTCTGTAGGTACTAGACAGCAGAAGTTTCGGGGAGAGGGAATCAGTCTCCATCAACCATTTGTGCGCGACGTGTGCTCAAATGCACGTTTTTCACCTTAGCAACCGTAAAATTTGTCAAGCAGTTGACGCTGAAAGTGAAATTAGATAGTTCGTTCAAACTTGCACAAATTCCTTTACTCACATTGACAGAAGTCATTTGCATGTTTCATGTACAATTAACATTATGGCATGAAAGGGCGCTATAACTGAGCAAAAATAAAATTTTATGTTGACTATATATTGATACTATCGTTGTAAATCTACAGTTTCTCAGATCTTTGCAACGAATTGCCACTTTATATTTAGGCAAGAAAACTTTTGCTTTTTCTTGGCGCACGGCAATGGTTCAAAGAAGTTGGAGCCCCACCAGGAGTTCGTTAAAAGTTATAATGAAATGAGTACATGGCGACACGTTCTAGATAACCGCAAACGCTTTCGCTTTGAATGTGCTAAATGAATTCATAAATTGTAGTTAAATATAAATTTAATGAATAATGTTCATTTAGTGCTCAGGGAAGCTATGATAGGCAAAGAATGTTAAAGGGTGCATTTTCTATTCTTGAAGTGACCAAACAGGCAATTTCATTTAACAGGGAAAATCGTTCGATTTCCTTTTAAGTCCTAATTTTGTAAATAGAAGTATTAACCACACTTCTCTAATTTTCGACAACTTTCGCTGCCGTCTAGAAAACCAGTGTTTCCTAAAATGTTTTCTTTTACTTTGTAAGGAGGAAGAGGTTACAGAAGTATAGAGAACAATTAAATTAATTAAGTCTGTGCTATCTCTAGAATCATACGGTAGTACTTAACTTGACAATTTGCAAAAAAACATCCCCCTAGTAACTAGGCAGGCTGTAGTGCAAAGCCCGCATGACAGTTATTGTTTGAGTACTACTCAAACAAAGCGAGCTCTCGCAGATGCCTCAGAAATTAGTGCTGTTGCTATGCCCCTACTATGGCATCAGCATTGGAATAGAATGGACTCCGGACTGTACAGCGTACCCTATTCCAACTGCTACTACAAATTCCCACCCCTTCCTACCTTCCTTACCATAGTAACTCATTAACGCTGAGTTAGAGCACTCAACGTACATTGCTAAGAAGGGGGGGAGGGGTGAGGAGTGAGGTAAATGAATGGAGTAAAAATGTGAAGTACGTTACTATGGCCTCCGGCGACTGTAATTCTCAACGAAAATAATGCCAAAGTGAATTCTAGCACTGTCTATTTCCCATACTTAGTGTTAACCAGAGTTGACTTTTAATAATGGCACACAGAAGTCACAACATCTTGTTTTAATGCATAAAATAGTTTGTGAAGGTATATTTTAATGCTTTCGGATATGTGTTGACGATGCGTAAATTTGTGCTTATTAGACAAGTCAGACTTCGTGGATTTGAATGCCAACGCCGCGCACCATGTGAACACTGGCTAAGTCCAACTATCTGAACCGGGAGGTGGAATTCTATTTAATTCTAATTCACCAATCAAAATTTGTTCCGGGGTTTGGTTTGTGGGAAAACAATAAAATCAACAGCAATGGGAGAGTTAATTTTGTTAACCAGAATAAATACATATATTCAGTGACAGGGTGTGCGATAGACTTACCTCCACGTGGTGTACCGTGAACAACGTATACACATATAGCAGAAAAGTCTATTAACCACCAGTTGACCTCTCAGCTCAAACTAACATCACCCCACTGTATGTCATATTCGACCACTTCTACAGTACTTACCTCGCCTTTTTCCTACCTTTGTGTCTGTCTCTTTTACATCTTTGAAGCACTCTTCTGTTCCCTACCCACCACCCCCACCCTCCTCTCGACTTTTTTCACTTTGACGTTCCTTCTTCTCTAAGAAGCCTGAAGTCAGCTAAAGGGCTAATGATAACTATCAAAACGCCAGCTATTTGATATAAATAAATAAATATTCAGTTACTTTCTAAAAGCATTTAATTTAGGATAGATGGAGGGAGAGAAACATGGCCTTCTGACTGTAACCATATAACTCGTTCAAGAAGTAGCAGCCGACAATCCTGATATCTTTAAATTTTTAAAAAAATGCAAATAATTGAAGAAAGATAGCTAATTTAGTATAGATCTTAATCTAAGGTCATACTGTAATACATGTTGGCAGGTATATGAAAGTGTTCATGAGGGAAAATATTGATTTGAAATATTCAAAATCGTAAGCTTAACCGATTGCAAGAAATCAACTTGTCGTTTTTTGCTAGTCTTTCCAAATAACAGCGAATAAATTGGGAAGAGTAGACAGATTCGATACTTTGTCCAGGCTTGCAGAAAAGGTGGCCATGTTAGTCCCTTTGCAAATACGACGTGTGCAATTTTCAGTTCACTTTGCATACCACAACGACTATGGGAATCGATACTGAATGCCACAGAGTTCTCTGAACGTCCACCACATAATACCAATTTCGAGATCAAGTGAAACGTTAGGCAGAATTTGGTGGAATTGGTGTGGATTCACCAACAATGTGCCTGCGTTTGCAAAATCGTAATTCAAACCAATTTAAAAGACGCTTCGAATAAACATAACTGAATGTGAAGTAATAAAAATTTTAGGCATATTAAATTGAAATTCATTTCAAAACAAATGAATTCAATATGGTATGAAATGGGAGGAGATTCGACAGTAATGAATGAAGGCAGGACTTTGCACTCGAGGGCATTGAATTGATAGTATTATCAAAAACTAAAGTTCAACAGTTGAATTGCAAACTATGCTTGTCAGCACTTGGAGAGGGTTGATTGATGAGAATTGAGTACGCTATACAGTGGAGTTATTTCTATGGGCGGTTGTGAACTCGGTGGTGATTCGGAAGTGAAAACGATGACTGAACACAGTGAAGCACTCTTTCCAATTTGAGGCTAATGAGAATGAAGCCTATCACGCTGAAATGGAATAGTTACTTCATTCCCCAATTTATCTACTCCATGGAATGTATGGGGACACTTAAATAACATCGTGCCACATGAGACCAGCATTTTTCGAATCCTCAATCTTGCAGTTAGGTCATTTCGCCGAACTACTGTTGCCTCTACGACAGCACATTCAATCAAGTTCGTTTCGGCAAACTCAAATCAGGTGTGAGGAAGCCACCTTCGATTGCGGTTTGGGGAGTGCCTACCACATTGACCCAGCTGTGTGCACTTTTACATTGTTTTGAGTCGAAACAAAAGCCAATTGAAACCGTCTTTTCGCATTACTAATTGTGCTCATTTCTCATTTTAAGTGCATTTCTTCGTTTGAGTCACTGATACCACACCTGTGTGAGTTCCTATTGCAGCATGAGTCAAACGACCAGAGAAATCATCAGTCCAGTTGAAATACTGTGGACAATGTCGTGCAACACCATATCAGACCAAAGCTAAATTCATGCTTTACTAATTTACTTCTTAACTAGTACTGTTATTCGTATCTATATACTTGAATATCCACGGGCACAGCAACTGAAGATGAAAGAGAAATATCTTGTCAATGAATTTGTACTCTCTACACCAACCACTCAATTCGAAGAACTCCACCTCCATTAGTTCCTACCTTCAAGCTGCCTAAGTTGTCTTAAGATGCAGATGTGTTTCGAGGTTCGGAGAGTTTAGTCAAGGGAAAATGGAAAACCCCATCTACTCTCAGGCATGGAAAACAAGGATTGGAAAGTTGGAAAACGCGTTGAAGGTAGAAGCATCGAAACGTCAGTGAAGTTGGGAGAGGCTTTGATATTTTGGAGCAGTTGTAAGAAATTGACGCCAATAATCTACACTCTCATTGTTGCCTCATTGCCTCGCGGATATGGCAATGCAAATTGTACTATTTTTGAGTGACCTGAATCCTAATATTCGCCTTTCCACTCAATCGATAGAGAAGTCCCTTGTGGAAATGGCTCCATTGCCATTAATTATCATACTTTACAGGGGTCTTTCAAAAATGGATGCACAAAAGACACCTGTATTTATTTGTGCCCAGGCCTCGTGCCAAGTGTTCTCTGGGCAGCGAATAGACGCTTAGAAATTAGGCTCGACTCTCTCCCTCTCACTCAACTTCTTCCATGTGAACTCTTCACAGTTAAACTAAACAAACCAAATTTGTATTCGAGTGTGCATAATTCAGAACTCCATTCCATTCCATCTACTCTTCTCCCCACCTTCTTTCTATCTGACTCTGCTTGGGGACACCAGCAGATTGAAGTCTACACAATTTCTCGTTGGTCACATTTCGAAAGGGTACGTCAATAGTTATTTGTTAGTGGCTAAGATGTCCGCACATTTATATTCTTCTATATTTCACGCTAGATAATATTGGGTAAAGCCATGCCAATTTTTCAGATTTGAGAAAAAGAGCTCTGACACTTAAGCAATAAGCAATTCTCAATATTAGAATCTCGCTTAAAGTTCGGAAACGTTTAGCTGATTGATTGTTGATTATTGTTCTTCTTATTATTGATTTTAATCTTCGCACAAAAAACACTTAACTGTAAATGATTCAACACAATTGTTGGAAGAGTTAAATGCTTAGTGCGAACATAGCAAATGTCACTTTGCTTGAAGTCGGGAAGTAGTCCTTACTTTTTAAATGAAGAGTTTATATTAGATATCCTGATGTTCGTTTTCATCAATCAGAGCCGGTTTCCTGAATATAATTTAACCCATTACATTCAGAGCTTGATGTTCATATGATTTATTTCCCTCGGCAGTGATGTCACCTCACGCGTAGTTGTGACATATTTAATAGACCATAGTTAATTGCCATAATAAAGAGAGCAGTAATCAACTCTTATTGCCCACCTATTTTCCTTCGATTTCAACAAAAATTTGACAATGACAAATGATTCGTTAAGCCGATATTCCCGATGCGGAGAAGGAGATCTGATTTGAAATTTGATAATAACAATGATCTTCATTACAAGTAGATAATTTAATTAATAGAGCTATTTTATCCCAATTTGGGCTTTCTATAATATTAATACTTCGGTTATATATAGGTAACTCATAATAAAGACGTAACAAAATTAAAATGAAGGGGGGGGGGACAAACAATTTCCTTCAGCGTACCTCCTTTGTAATGCCTGTCTGGTACACCTGTCATGAGGCACTGATGTTCATTTGAAATAAGTACCATATCTTCTGGCAAAAGTTGTTGTTGACTTTATACAAAACTGTAAAAACTTTGGAAAGTGGGTTTAGAACAATTGTACTGTTGTCCTCTACGACCTCTGGTCAACTAGTGCAGAACAATAAATGGTTCTGTACAAGTTGTTAATTGAGGAGAAATGAAATTGAGAAATGAATTTTTTTTTCTCCTTCATTATAAGAGTTTAAGGATACTTGAAATAAGAACCATGTTGAAAACGAAGGTATGAATGAACGGCATCGAGGTAAACGGATTATTAGTTCAATTTTATCCTCCCCTCCCCTCCCCCCCCCC